CTCCAGCAGGAGGAGCTGCAGTTCTTCACTCCTCCAGCAGGAGGAGCTGCAGTTCTTCACTCCTCCAGCAGGAGGAGCTGCAGTTCTTCACTCCTCCAGCAGGAGGAGCTGCAGTTCTTCACTCCTCCAGCAGGAGGAGCTGCAGGTCTTCACTCCTCCAGCAGGAGGAGCTGCAGTTCTTCACTCCTCCTACTGGAGGAGCTGCAGGTCTTCACTCCTCCAGCAGGAGGAGCTGCAGTTCTTCACTCCTCCAGCAGGAGGCGCTGCAGTTCTTCACTCCTCCTACTGGAGGAGCTGCAGGTCTTCACTCCTCCAGCAGGAGCAGCTGCAGGTCTTCACTCCTCCTACTGGAGGAGCTGCAGGTCTTCACTCCTCCAGCAGGAGCAGCTGCAGGTCTTCACTCCTCCAGCAGGAGGAGCTGCAGTTCTCCACTCCTCCAGCAGGAGGAGCGCGCGCTCATGGGATCCGGTGCTGATGGAGGAGAGTAGAGCGGACACTCGGCGGAGCTGCTGATGCTCTGACCCGGTCGGGATGGACGCGTTGGACGGTTTCGNATGAGTTCATTAAACCCTGAGTGCGGTCTGACAGGTGGCTCACCTGACATTGGCTGAACAGGTACGGTTGTTTCTTCCCGGCGGTCTGCTCAGGTGTGAGCCACTGCAGAGCCGAGGCCGACGGAGACGTCTCATAGGTCACCTCCACGATGACATGCTGCCCTCTGATTGGTCCAGAGCACACAGGTTAGCTTTTATTCAGAGGACAAGAAGAAGAGAGGACAGGTGATGTCCTCACCTGGACAGTTCAAAGGGCAGCGTGATGTCCAGCGGCGTCCCCTTGAAGCTGTGCTTGGTGCCCAGAGCGAAGGAGGCCGGCTGCTGGTTGGCTGAGACAGAGAGGACGTTCAGGTCCCTGGTGTCCAAAGTCTGCAGCAGATAAACAGATTGTGTTCATTAACGAGCTCCATCATCAGCGCCACACCTGCTGGGGCTACCTGTCTGTGCAAAGTTCACCTGTCTGCCTCCAGGATTCATTTATTCTGCTCAGGTCGCAGCTCAGCAGTCACCTGGAGACCACTTAACCCTGCTTTATTACTGGGACAGGTACCGCACCTGCACAGGTAAACAACCTGCACAGGTTTAAACCTCACAGGTAAACAACCTGCACAGGTTTAAACCTCACAGGTAAACAACCTGCACAGGTTTAAACCTCACAGGTAAACAACCTGCACAGGTTTAAACCTCACAGGTAAACACCCTGCACAGGTAA